GCTAAGTGAACCTCCTGTGGAAGGGAGTTCCACAGACTGGGAGCAGGCAGTCCTCACCAACAGAGTCCTCATTGAGTCCTGTGAAGGTGGTGGGACTAAGAGAAAATCCTCCCCTACAGATCTTAGAGCTTGCCCTGGCTTATATAAGGAGAGGATAATCTGGAACCAAGCAAGGTGACCAGATGTCCTCCTTTTCTAGGACACGTTCTATATTTCAGCCTTCTGCCCAGGAGGAATTCCAAAAATGTACTCCATTTTGAGCATAACTAAGAAGCATGAATTTATATTTATATGAGTGTTTTTTATCTTTTATTTTGCAATGCCCAACATTTTTCATGAATGCCTTACATTTTTGGTGCCTTGCAGTCATGATATCTGGTCAGCCTGGACCCAAGAGCTTTAAAGGTCCCAAACAGCACTGTAAATTCTGCCTGGAAAAAGACTGGTAGCCAGTGCAATTGCTTGTGGTAGCATTAGTAGCAGGATTTGCTTAAGCTCCTTTTTAAAAAATAAATAGGAAATATCATGCACACACACACACACACACATACTTTGGATACAGTCCTCTTGGTGCACTATGCGAGGGGGTATACTTTTTTCAGGCTTGCACAGCAATGGCTTAGGAAGGTAGACAAAACCTTCAATCTCCAAGCAGCCTGTTTCTCTTAAGCCTTTCTTTCATGATGTCTTCCCTCTCGCTGCTAGGACCTACCCTGGTCGAGTGCATCAGCAGAATCCTTTTCTTTTGTTTCCAAAGATCTCAGCTAAAATCACACTTGGTGCTTTATGTAACTTCCCCTATGGAAACAGCTGGACATTTTTTGTCCAATGTGGAACAGCCACATTCAGTTCAGGGTTGTGGAAGTGACGCTGGCATCTTTCACACCGTCGCGCAAGAGTGTGCGTTGCACATGCAAAGAATGTGAACATTTTGGTTGCTTACTTGGTGGTACAGCATCAAAATGCACTTGTGTGGCACAGCTGTCCAACCAGTGCATAACACTGTGAAAGTAAAATTTGTCTCCATCTCCTTGATGTAAGATCTTGCTTACCTTTCCAAACGATGGAAGCTGCATTTTATCTAATCATTTTCTTCCCTCCTACTGACATTGCCTATGCATACATAGTGCTTCCATGGAAAGCTAGCCTTTGTCTCCCATGATATCATTTTAAAATATAGAAGTTGAATTTGATCCAACAAAATAATTCTTCTTTATATTGCTGTAGGTGAATTATCTACTTTTCTTTTCTTTTCTTGGGGAAAAAAAAGAATTCAAGAAAGGGGGAGCTATTGTGAAGAACTTCAAAAAGAGTTATTTCCAAAAGTTTTCTAAAACAAGAAATTAAAGCCTGAAAGATGAAGAAATTGACAAGGGAAAATGCACGAGGGAAGGAGGGAGGGAAGGAAAGGCTGTTTCTTATACTTTCATTTCCCCTCTCATAGGTGATTGTTCTCCTTGTTCTAAATTCATTTCAAAGCCAGAGGGAAAGGAACAAGGATGGAAGGGAGGAATGCAAAAAGAGAGAGATGTGGAAGAGAGAGAGAACCTTTAAAAAAATGGCAATTCAGTGAAGCGTCTGTCCCTTGTCTAATTCCTTTGCTGGCCTGTAGCTGATGGTGCTCAGAAATATAGAGCGGCAAGCTCTGACATTTCATTTCTGCAGAGAATTGAAAAAGGGTTTGCTGTAATTCATCGCTTCTTGTAACTCAAACCCTTTCTGACAGGAGTACCTGCACTGTCTTTTAACGCTGGCACCACTGCGGCTGTAATTGGACATGAAAAATGATGTCGTGTTTGCTGTGGGCTTGGGGAGGGGATGGCCAGAGTTGTGGGAAGGGGGAGATGTGTGTTCTGACGTGAGTGTGTCTGAGCACATGTTCATGTTTGCCTGGAATGCGTCAACTTTTAAAAAGCCACTAAGAGAAGCGTGACGGGGTTATTCTTTCTCCAGTTTCTGTAACCAGAACCCTGAGATGTTTGGTTCTTCTGGAGCAAACTTGGGAAACATTACTGGCTTGCACCCTGTTGATCGTTTAACCCCAACAGGATGCAAGTGCTTATACCTTTTTGCCCATTGTATAATGGCCAAATTATGCAACTATGTTGACAAGCTGGAGCGCCTTCAGAGGAGGTTGAACAAAATGGTAATATGTCTGGGAACCATGGACTAAAAGAGAAGCGACTTAGGGAGCTGGGTATGTTTAGGCTAGGGAAGAGAAGGTTAAGGGGTGACAGGATAGCCCTGTTTAAATATTTAACAGGATGTAATACTGAGGATGGAGCAAGATTGTTCTCTGCTGCTCCAGAGAATAGGACTCGGAAAAATGGATTCAAACTACAGGAAAAGAAAGTCCATCTAAACATTAGGAGGAACTTCCTGACAGTGAGAGGTGTTTGATAGTGGAACACAATCCCTTGGAGATTTTGGTGGAGTTTCCTTCTTTGGAGGTCTTTAAACAGAGGCTGGATGGCCATCTGTTGGGGATGCTTTGATTTTGAGTTCCTGCATGGCAGGAGGTTGGACTGGATGGTCCTTAGGGTCTCTTCCAACTCTCTTCCACAATGTGGGATGTAATTTTTCACTATTTTGTCTTCTGGAATAAAGCAAGGAGTAATTTTAGTAATTTTCCTCCCTTTTTTAAAAAAAATCTTTCTGCAGTTCAGTATTTATTCTGTGTAAAATTCATATATACCACGTTAGCTGAAGAAATACAGTTTCTTTTGCAGAAAAAAATGTGAAAAAAATGAAAATTTTGTGCAGAATAAGTCCCCAGCTACATAAAATGTTTTTTTTTCCCATGCAGAGAATTCAGTTTCTGCACAAAACAACCACGTGCGGATGTTTGCGTAGTCCCAAACTGCAATGATTTTTATCATTCTTCTTGTCATGGTTTCTCTACACTTGACAGTAAAAAAAAAAAATCAGCTAACTGTCAAATGTTTCCACATATTCTTTCCATCCATAGTAACCATTCCACATGTAGCTGCATATTCTTTGATGACGTGAAACTTTTGTCAGTGTATTCAGTGTATCACTTGATTCACTTGGACTGACAAAATAGCCATTGTGCATTCTCTACTAGACAATGGAACAACAGGCAAACACACAGTTGGTTGCACAATGTCAATATACAGCAGAAGATTAGCACAGCGTAACCACCATGCAATTCAGAAGCCAAATGAAGCACTTTTCTCCCATCCTCATGGTGACGTGTCTACATATTGCCAAGTCAAACCCCCAAATCACGTGTGGACTGTCTTCTTGATGTAAGGCTAGTTCCACAGAGAATCCATACCAGTTTTAAATTGGTTTAAATTAGCTCTCTTTTTTGCATCCCATAGTGACACTGTGTAACTATCTACACACGTCACATTGTGTCACCCAGCTCCATTG